GTCGTCATCAATAAATATATTATATCATAACACTACTCACACACATTCTTGGCCCTTTGCGAAGCGTCGTGAACATGGGCCATGTGCTCTAGTCGACTTGAGTCGCCCGGATCACTTTACCGACTTTGTACACCTCTCCCGTTATATCTGTACTTTGTACACCTCTCCCGTTATATCTGTACTTTGTACACCTCTCCCGTTAAATCTGTACTTTGTACACCTCTTACTCTCCCTCTTCCCGTTATATCTGTACTTTGTACACCTCTCCCGTTATATCTGTACTTTGTACACCTCTCCCGTTATATCTGTACTTTGTACACCTCTCCCGTTATATCTGTACTTTGTGCACCTCTCCCGTTATATCTGTACTTTGTACACCTCTCCCGTTATATCTGTACTGTGTACACTCTCCCGTTATATCTGTACTTTGTACACCTCTCCCGTTATATCTGTACTTTGTACACCTCTCCTGTTATATCTGTACTTTACACCTCCTCCTCCCGTTATATCTGTACTTTGTACACCTCTCCCAAGTTATATCTGTACTGTACTGCTCTCTGTTATATCTGTACACCTCTCCCGTTATATCTGTTATATTCTTTGTTTGTACACCTCTCCTGTTATATCTGTACTTTGTTATATCTGTACTTTCTCTCCGTTATATCTGTACTTTGTACACCTCTCCCGTTATATCTGTACTTTGTACACCTCTCCTGTTATATCTGTACTTTGTACACCTCTCCTGTTATATCTGTACCATATCTGTACTTTGTACACCTCTCCCGTTATATCTGTACACCTCTCCCGTTATATCTGTACTTTGTACACCTCTCCCTCTCGTACTTTGTACTTACCCTCTCCCAAGTTATATCTGCTATATATGTACTTTGTACACCTCTCCCGTTATCCTGTTATATCTGTACTTTGTACATATCCTCTCCCGTTATATCTGTACTGTACTTGTACACCTCTCCTGTTATATCTGTACTTTGTACACCTCTCCCGTTATATCTGTACTTTGTACACCTCTCCCGTTATATCTGTACTTTGTACACCTCTCCCGTTATATCTGTACTTTGTACACCTCTCCCGTTATATCTGTACTTTGTACACCTCTCCTGTTATATCTGTACTTTGTACACCTCTCCCGTTATATCTGTACTTTGTACACCTCTCCTGTTATATCTGTGTACTTTGTACACCTCTCCCTGTTATATCTGTACTTTGTACACCTCTCCCATATCTGTTATATCTGTGTACACTGTGTACACCTCTCCCGTTATATCTGTACTTTGTACACCTCTCTCCTGTTATATCTGTACTTTGTACACCTCTCCCGTTATATCTGTACTTTGTACACCTCTCCCGTTATATCTGTATCTGTACACCTTCTCCCCGTTATATCTGGACATCTCTGTTACTCGTTATATCTCTCCCAAGTTATATCTGTACTTTGTACACCTCTCCCGTTATATCTGTACTTTGTACACCTCTCCCGTTATATCTGTACTTTGTACACCTCTCCCTGTTATATCTGTACTTTGTACACCTCTCCCGTTATATCTGTACTTTGTACACCTCTCCACCTCTCCCCGTTATATCTGTACTTTGTACACCTCTCCCGTTATATCTGTACTTTGTACACCTCTCCTCCTGTTATATCTGTTATATATCTGTACTTTGTACACCTCTCCCCGTTATATCTGTGTACACCTCTCCCGTTATATCTGTACTTTGTACACCTCTCCTGCTATATCTGTACTTTGTACACCTCTCCCTGTACTTTGTTATATTATATCTGTACTTTGTACACCTCTCCCGTACACCTCACCTCCCTGTTATATCTGTACTTTGTACACCTCTCCTGTTATATCTGTACTTTGTACACCTCTCCCGTTATATCTGTACTTTGTACACCTCTCCCGTTATATCTGTACTTTGTACACCTCTCCTGTTATATCTGTACTGTACACACTCTCCTGTTATATCTGTACACCTCTCCCGTTATATCTGTGTACTTTGTACACTTTCCTCCCGTTATATCTGTACTTTGTACTTTGTCTGTACTTTGTACACCTCTCCCGTTATATCTGTACTCCTGTTATATCTGTACTTTGTACACCTCTCCCGTTATATCTGTACTTTGTACACCTCTCCCGTTATATCTGTACTTTGTACACCTCTCCCGTTATATCTGTACTTTGTACACCTCTCCACCTCTCCCGTTATATCTGTACTTTGTACACCTCTCCCGTTATATCTGTACTTTGTACACCTCTCCCGTTATATCTGTACTTTGTACACCTCTCCTGTTATATCTGTACTTTCCTCTCCCGTTATATCTGTACTTTGTACACCTCTCCCGTTATATCTGTACTTTGTACACCTCTCCCATATCTTATATCTGTACTTTGTACACCTCTCCCGTTATATCTGTACTTTGTACACTTCTCTCCCGTTATATCTGTACACCTCTCCCGTTATATCTGTACTTTGTACACCTCTCCCGTTATATCTGTACTTTGTACACCTCATATCTGTACTTTGTACACCTCTCCACGTTATATCTGTACTTTGTACACCTCTCCCGTTATATCTGTACTTTGTACACCTCTCCCGTTATATCTGTACTTTGTACACCTCTCCCGTTATATCTGTACTTTGTACACCTCTCCCGTTATATCTGTACTTTGTACACCTCTCCCGTTATATCTGTACTTTGTACACCTCTCCCGTTATATCTGTACTTTGTACACCTCTCCCGTTATATCTGTACTTTGTACACCTCTCCTGTACACCTTATATCTGTACTGTGTACACCTCTCCTGTTATATCTGTACTTTGTACACCTCTCCCGTACACCTCTCCCTCTCCCGTTATATCTGTACTTTGTACTCTCCCCGTTATATCTTTGTACTTTGTACACCTCTCCCGTTATATCTGTACTTTGTACACCTCTCCTGTTATATCTGTACTGTGTACACCTCTCCCGTTATATCTGTACTTTGTACACCTCTCCCGTTATATCTGTACTTTGTACACCTCTCCCGTTATATCTGTACTTTGTACACCTCTCCCGTTATATCTGTACTTTGTACACCTCTCCCGTTATATCTGTACTTTGTACACCTCTCCCGTTATATCTGTACTTTGTACACCTCTCCCGTTATATCTGTACTTTGTACACCTCTCCCGTTATAGCTGTACTTTGTACACCTCTCCCGTTATATCTGTACTTCGTACACTTGCGTGTAATCTGGATATAAAAGGTCAACTTGGAGATTTCCATGTAAGGATAATTCTGACTTGGATATCAATATATAGAGGTATATACATAGCCACCCGTGTTTATATATATATATATATATATAGATAGATACACGCCAGAGCTATATATATCTAGGTGTCATTGTTTGATTTAGATAATTAATTATCTGTACTACCAGGAAATAGCATGAGTTCTAGGACACAAGAGTAAGGGCGTAGCATATGCGTGACCAACTCGTGTTATTCCGAGACAAGCCGAATAACGATCTTCTTGGAGGTTACGTAAAGGGACGAGTGATGACGAATGGACTTTGCACTGCTATTCCCAGAATGTCCAAGTGTACAATAAACATTCTCTAGCTGATTTAAATAAATTCCAGTACTTTAGTCGTATCAGCAAGCCAGCCTAACTTGGTGTTTACATGTTTCAGATGATGAATAATCTAGTGAAATGTGACCTTGAAATCTCACTCACCCTTCTTCAGATAGACAGTGTCACACCATAGCATGAACAAGTTACAAAAACAAATGTAATATTGACAAGCCATATGGATAACAACTTTTAGTTCGTGAGTGCGACGCTTCACTACAGATTCTTGTAATAATGATAATAATAATAACTATGTGTATGCTCATAGCGCTACAAATATACTCCAATATCAATTTTAACTCTGTCAATGGGGACACAAACACAAAGCAGTAGATTTTAGTCCAGGTATGTCTGTCGGAAGAGATATGTTTTAAGCTCGGACTTGCAAAGCGAGAGGGTTTCGAGATCTTTGAGTTCAGTTGGGAGTTTGGGAGTTCCATAGAACTGCAGCATTATAGCTGAAAGATCATGTACCGTTGTCAAGCTCCCTGCAGTACAAGAATCTGTCTCGAAACGTCGCACTCATGGAACTAAAAGTTGTTATCCATAAAGTTTGTCAATATTGTGCTTCCCAACTTCTAAAATGCCACTCAAAGACGTGATGCACAATTTAAAGTGAAAATAAACAAATGTATTTGTTAACAAAAGTTACACCAAAGTCTCTTCTTCTGTCATCCTGTAAAATAATTTCCGTTCTGTCTCTCCCCTTTTAGACCAACACATTTTTATGATCTGCATACGAAAGATCATATTTGAAATGATAATGCAAAGGTTACACACTGATTTGCATGTAACGATATCAAAGTATAATATATATCATCTAATTTCCATTGATATTTTAAATTCGTTAGATACGTTATGCGATGTATAACATGCCAATGGATAAAATTGCAACCTTGCAAGAAGTTTACATTGTAACATGTATCATGTTTATTTGTGGAAATGTGATGTATAACATGCTTGCCTGAATTTTACATTGAAAAACGTAACAACTTTATTTGTTGAAATACGATGTACAATATGCTAATGGGAAATAAAAAACCAAAAATGAGAGAGAGATACACCATCGGTATATTGGTTTAATTTAGATTGGCAATACTCTGATTATTTTCTAAGAAACCTGGTAATGGTCATTCCACTGTACAAGGTACGTGACTAATTATTGGCCTCAAATGGACTTTTTAAACATTTGTAACAGTTCTGTAGGCATAAACAGCAGCTCTTTTTAAATTGGTCAGGAACACGATATCGAATTATTGGGCTATAGGATGATGTTATGCAATATCCATTGCGTGACTAACTTAAGAGATACGTCAGCGTTACATTGGTTATATTTATATCGGTGTCAGTGTGTACGTCACACTTCACTTACCCCGACAATACTCGGAATTGTGTCACTTCTAGGAAACTGACTGCGCGCCATTGCTGTACGAGCTCCGTTCACAGACACCTGCCTGTCCTACACCTGCCTGTCCTACACCTGCCTCGCACTAAGGTTTCGGGAATGGCGACCTGTTCTGTAAGCATTCAATAGCTAATTTGACATTTGTCTTAGAATCAGCTCTGTGATTGTGGATTGGATGGTACTTTGTCAGAGGTCGTGTCAGGTACATGTGAGAAGGTGGGCGGTGGGGTAGCCTATTGGTTAAAGCGTCGTTTTATTGACGAGACAAACCAAATATCCTCTCTTTCTTATATTGTTAAGGGTGAAATACTGTAAATATTGGTGAAAATAAAAATGGTATTTTCACTGAGTAGAATAGCATGTTATTCCACTGAGTAGAATATCACTTTTGCCTGGAACTACTTTCTGCTCAAGGGCTAGACTGTATTTGGGTAGCGTAACAAAATGCAGACTTACTCGATGTCTTGATCTGCACCACTCGTGAACATATCAACTTTGTGAACATATCAACTCTGTGAACATATCAACTTTGTGAACATATCAACTTTGTGAACATATCAACTTTGTGAACATATCAACTTTGTGAACATATCAACTTTGTGAACATATCAACTCTGTGAATATATCAACTTTGTGAACATATCAACTCTGTGAACATATCAACTTTGTGAACATATCAACTTTGTCAGACCACTCGATGAAATATACTTGTTATTTGACAACATTAACAAAACATCCTCTATATATTCTTCCATGATATAACAAAACCAAAATGGGCGTCTTTACAAAGTCTAGTGGTTAAATCGTTTGCTCGTCACGCCGAAGATCCGGGTACGATTCCCCACATGAATACAATGTGTGAAGCCCATTTCTGGTGTCCCCCGCCGTGATATTACTGGAATAGTGTAAACGTAAGCGTAAAACTCACTCACTCACTCACTGTAAATTAAGAGACACGTCAATATTATAAACGCCCATAGTATCATCTTACATTTAAACAGGTAATACCCTCTCCTATACTCTCACCCAGCAAGAATAACGTTCTATGTCCTATCCTCACTTCTACAAACACATAACTATACTATGACTTTCGAAAAATCTCATTGGAAATGATCATGTGGAGGTAATACAGACGTATAAAGATATAAAGAAAACCAATGTTCATGATGAGACACGTCAGCACTATATACGTCCATAGGATTACCTTACATTCAAACTGGCGTGGCAGATGATGTGTCATGACAGATAAAAGACCAATCTTGGATTCAAACCCACGACCAGCAGATCCTGACAAGTTAGATTGGGGTATTAGGTCTGATATATATTTTGTCTGTTTTTTAAGAGTATGTCAGTCATGATTTACTTCCATGTTACATATATTGCAGGCGGAAACTGAGGGAAACAGCCAAACCCTGATCGATAGCCCAGGCATTCCATGGAACCAATGGCCTAAAAAAAAGAAGAAAATAGCAGGAATCTACGTTATCAAACAGGATGGATTGGTCATCTACGTTGGGAGGTCCAAAGATATAGAACAACGCCTGAAGTCACACTGCTACGGGAAGGTGCAAGCCATCGACGAACACATTGCTGATACCGCTCCCAAGTGGCTCAGCTACAACTATGTGATTGACCCCGACCAGAAGTGTAATGAGCACTGTTATATAGACCACATTACTCAGTTGCAAAGAGGTCAGAGGCCGGAGTTCAACAGAACTAGGGGAGATGCGTGTACCCATTGTCAGAGAAGAAAACCCGGTGACAAGGATACAGAATGTGCGATTCTCTGAAACGAAATCCAGAATGTCACGAATCAGTTAAAGAAGGAAGTTCATCTGACTTGCCAAAAGCTGGCTGAATAATGTATATATACATCTGAGACTTGTGTTAATCTTTGCCACGTTCATTCACGAAGATATATAAGAGAGTGAGTGAGTGAGTGTGTTAATATTTATCGTCACATCGGCAATATTATATAAAAGAGAAATAAACAAGATGACATTGAAAACTTTGCGTCTTATCTTTTATATCTAAACCTGGATCATCAGTTATATCTAAACATGGATCATCAGTTATATCTAAACCTGGACCGTCAGTTATATCTAAACATGGACCATCAGTTATATCTAAACCTTGATCATCAGTTATATCTAAACCAGGGTCATGAGTTATGTCTAAATCTGGACCATCAGTTATATCTAAACCTGGATCAGTTATATCTAAACCTGGATTATCAGCTATATCTAAACCTTGATTATCAGTTGTGTCTAAACCTGGACCATCAGTTATATCTAAACCTGGATCATCAGTTATATCTAAACCTCGATCATCAGTTATATCTAAACCTGGACCATCAGTTATATGTAAACCTGGATCATCAGTTATATCTAAACATGGACCATCAGTTATATCTCCCTCCCTCGCTGGCCAGGACAGTTGTGTCTAAACCTGGACCATCAGTTATATCTAAACCTGGATCATCAGTTATATCTAAACCTCGATCAACAGTTATATCTAAACCTGGACCATCAGTTATATCTAAACCTCGACCATCAGTTATATCTAAACCTGGATCATCAGTTATATCTAAACCTCGATCAACAGTTATATCTAAACCTAGACCATCAGTTATATCTAAACCTGGACCATCAGTTAAATCTGGATCATCAGTTATATCTAACGCTGGATAATCAATGTAATAATGATAATTATCGGTGTAATAATGATAATTATCGGTGTAATAATATACTCATGAAGGGAAACTACGTCAATAGGCGTGACATCCGTCATAAGCGATTATTAGCTATATTGAACGTAACCGTTGAGTTGTTCCGTATTTCATTCACCCACGCATCCACTCCCTCCCCTCCCCCACTCCCTCCCTCCTCCGCTGGCCAGGACAGTCACGTCGCCGTCAGAAGTACGTAGTTGCGCGTGTCTTATCCCTTACTTCTGCCAGAACTCATCGTCATGAGTTCGAATCCCTGATTATCGACCTTAGTCACGTGTGGCATCGTTACACGTGTTTTACAGAGGCGACACAGCCTTATATAACCAACACCTTCTTCAGAGACCCTATCACTCTGCCTCTACTCTGTCTCTCTGTTTCAGTTGCTGTTTTATTATGTTGGCTGCTGCCGGCGATAATACTCGACAACAGAGCAGTGGGAGATCACTGTTCAATGAAGTCTACATTCTTGTGGATGTCTGTTTTTGCATCAGCAAGTTGTTATGGTTGAAATAAATAAAAAAATATTTACTTTAAATAATTTTGCACTCGACGGGAAACATATGTTATATGTTAATATGTAACAACGTCAGAGATAAGGTTTCCCCCGAAACTGATTCCAACTGACGTCAAATGCAAAATAGCGGTGCATTATATTAATGGTTGAAATCAACAAGAAATCAGTAACACCAGGTGTTCGCGAAAAGGGTAAACCTGTTCTGCCTTACTGGTATCATCCGTCCCAAACACAATATGCATAAAAAATATGCAAGAAAAAGTTTGTTCTTAGACGCAGTCGTACGCCAGCAAATAACGGATCAGAAACACGATCTTCACCCAAAGCATAGATGCACAATAATTGATAAGTATTTACTCATATGGAACAGCAAATGTCCTGAAAGAATAAAATGTTGTGCTTGTCTTTATGCCGTATATGCGGTGGTGATCTTCATGTACAACATGCGGTGGTGATCTTCATGTAAAACTTACAGTTGTGCCCAATAGCTTAGCATGTGATATTCACAGACCATTTTAGTACGAGATATACACATAACCGCAGCAGTTTGGGATCACAGAACACATAGAAGCACATGATCTTCACCCGGAAGCATAATGGCACATGATCTTCACTCAAAGCATGGCACGTTATAAATGATGGTAGAAAGGTCAGAAACCTGAGTAATCATTTAACATCACGACTATAATTTTCTTCGGCCCATTGTGTAATGTGAGTGAGTGAGTGAGTGAGTGAGTGAGTGGGTGAGAACTAGGGATCTGCAGTGCACTGGACTGACATGTTAGCTACTGAGCTGTAAATATTGTTTTGGAGTGTGCAAATATGTTAAAACTATGTTCTTATTACATAAAGGGTATCTATTAATTCTGAGTATTAGGGTAACATATAATCCGTGAAGATCCGGGTTACAATTGGACTTCAGCAACCCATGCTTCTCGTAACAGACTACTAAGGGGATCGGGTGGTCAGGTTCGCTAACTTGGTTGACACATGTCATCCTATCGATGCTCATGTGGATGATCAAAGACTCGAGATTATTTACAGACCGCCGCCATGTAGCTAAAATATTGCTGAGTGCGGCGTAAAACAACAAAGAAAACAAGGGGTAATATCGGGTACAATATATTCATGTAATTCACAAATGACCAGTAGTAATGCTCAAGATTCATGACTAACAGTAGCGGGAAGGAATGCGAAGGACAATTTCTGCCGTGCTGTGACTGGACAGTAAGTACGACCTTTAATATCCAAATAGTTACGAGAAATGTAAACGCACGGCGCCATCTGTAACAACCTGTTCGTCATTCGTCGTAATGATATGAAACTACACGATTGTTTACAAGGAGTTGTATAAATACATAAATGCGGATCTTTTCAAAGTTCACTTATCTGCTACTCTATCCCGCTGTAGTGGAAATCGTCCCCTGTCGTGATATTGCTGGAATATTGCTAAAAGCGGCGTAAAACCAAACTCACTCACTCACTCTAGTGGAAATCCGCTGGAAACAATATATACACGTTTGTCTGAATATCATCAATTCCCCATGCCCAGAAATAATACATTTAATGCTATGAAAAGAAACGCAAAGATGATTTCTCATATAGTTATACATAATTACAGTATAGAGGAAATAACATAGGCGGGCCTTTATCTTGAATTTATTTATGTTTTGTTCACTGTCCACTGACAATACGAGTAATTTCTGACTCGACAAAATGCCGCAGTGTAGCACTGAGTATTGATCACTACTTGCCACGATTCAAGCTTTATATCAAAACAAACAATCATTTAGATCCAATTAAAAGCTTTGAATGCTTGAAAATCCTGGCTGCTCACATAAATTTAATTTTCTCTCAATACCACGAAAACATGATACACGAACCCTCATGGCTGACATGGCAAACTAATATTTGTTTCAAACACATATTTACCAAAGTTAACGCGGATGATATCCAGATAAAGAAGTCATCGTCAATGAAAATATTAATCATAACACTACTCACACATATTCTTGACCCTTTGCGATGCTACAAGTTTTCATCAGCGTCGTGAACATGGGCCATGTGCTCTCGTCGACTTGAGTCGCCCGGATCACTTTACCGACAGGGGCCAAAACAAACCCGGATCACTTTACCGACAGGCACAAGTAAACCCTGGATAAGTATTCTGGCAAAATTCAATTTGAATATCATTTCCAACACATAGGAGTCAAATGACATTACGAACAAAAAACTGTTACAGGTGATTGAGATCACAATGGAAGTGTTGATGGACAACAAATGACACATGAAGAAAGGTCAAGTTCAAAGATGTCACTATAGCAGGGTCAAGGTGAGGCATAGATAACCAAAACTCTGCTGGGGTGTGAGGTCGTTTATTTCAGCAAGTGGTCCCCCCCTCGTCAAAAATAGCGAAAAATGACCACAAAATAATAATCGTTTGTTAACAACTTTTTTATTCGGGTGTCCAAAATTATGAGACAAATCATAAGAGTTGGTCTGTCGATTTCATGTGACGGTTCCGCCCGTAACCCCCGCTGGAAATGTATTCTATTAATAGGATTATTTCGAGGGTTTAGGGTTAGGTTTAGGGGTTTAGGGTTACGGTTAGGGTGTGGTTTAGGGTTAACACGGAAATCTTTCCCATTACTTATTGCACATATGGAATACGAATTATGATATTACATCATTACGCATAACGTAATGCCAATACATACATACAATGCAATACACACAAGATAGGCAATAATAAACTATTACGCATTATTCGTAATTGTAACATACACATGATTCATCACCACGCATTACTTGATGGTACTATGTATAATACATGGATATAACACATACATATACACATACCCTGGGGGTGGTACAAGGAACAGCACCAATCATATAGACGGGGACTTATCTGTTATAATATTAGATTATAAATATAATATGCAAGGTAATGTGGAGTAGCTTCAGGGCTACATTCATAAACACAGAATTACCTCCAAACATTAATAATTGCACTTATCATAGTTAAAACATAGCAACTTATATCAAAACACATTCTCTCATCTCACACATTCATTGAAAGGATAGTAAAGATAAGAATATATTAGAGATGCTTATTTATGTTTGTAGCTTAGGATTGGAAAACTAACATGATTGCATATAGTACACCTACATGCTATACAATATAATACTTATTTATATGACAGTAAGTAGATATATTTTTATTATGACTGACTTACTGAGTTTGGTTTTACTCCGCTTTTAGCAATATTCCAGCAACATCACGGTGGGGGGACACCAGAAATGGGCTTCACACATTGTACCCATGTGGGGATTCGAACCCGGGTCTTCGGCGTGACGAGCCAACGCTTTAACCATTAGGCTACCCCACCGCCCCTTTTATTATGAAGGCACTGTAAGAATTAACTGCAATATTACTGTAATTAAATAAATACTAACCTTAATGTTACACTTTGTCTGTCCATGCTCAAACGGGGCAAAGAGGCAGTGCAGAATGAGTCAAATTGTACATGAAGTCCGTGAGACCAATCAGCGGAGAAGCGTCATGGCTTGGGCAATTGGCGAGGGAGTGTTGTGATCACATGGCTTCCTATTTATATATTGCCTGTCAACAGACAGACGACTGATCTTACTGAATTTTCGCTTGCTATTTTTTGTAATAAAGGCAACTGATTTTGCATCTAAAGTGGTATTGACGATCTCGGGTAAATAATATTGATGCTTGTTTGCTTTTTGTATAACTTTACTTCCCGATTTCCATTGTCAATAGGGGCGGTGGGGTAGCCTAATGGTTAAAGCGTTGGCTCGTCACGCCGAAGACCCGGGTTCGAATCCCCACATGGGTACAATGTGTGAAGTCCATTTCTGGTGTCCCCCGCCGTGATGTTGCTGGAATATTGCTAAAAGTGGCGTAAAACCAAACTCAGTCAGTCAGCCATTGTCAATAAAACTTCTCAGGACAGCGACTGGGCACCCGCCCTACCAGTGAAACTGTTTGTGCACTTCGATCGCACACGTACTCACCCGATATAGCGCGTGCAATGCAATCGTCGAAATCACCAGAACGTATTCAGCTCGTGTTGGGATATTCTTGTCATAACTCTACTTTTTACTCTACTCTCTGTCAATTTTCTTTACTTAAGACCATAAATGTGTCAGGAACACGATATCAAATTATAAGGCTATATGATGACGTTATGCAATGTCCATTGTGTGACAAAGTTAAGAGATACGTCAGCGTTACATTGGTTATATTTATATCGGTGTCAGTGTGTAAGTGACACTTCACATACCCCGACAATACTCGGAATTGTATCACCTCTAGAAAGTTGACTGTGCGCCATTGCTGTACAAGCTCCGTTCACAGATACCTGCCTTACACTAAGGTTTCGGGAATGGCGAACTGTTCTGTAAGTTTTCAATAGCTAATTTGACATTTGTCTTAGAATCAGCTCTGTGATTGTGGATTGGATGGTACTTTTGTCAGAGGTCGTGTCAGGTACATGTGAGAAGGTGGGCGATGGGGTAGCATATTGGTTAAAGCGTCGTGTTATTGACGAGAGAAACCAAATATCCTCTCTATATTCTTCCATGATATATCAAAATCGAAATGGACGTCTTTACAAAGTCTAGTGGTTAAAGCGTTTGCTCATCACGCCGAAGCCAGTTCGTCAGAGCTAGAAGATCAATTCCAGGACTATATATCAAGGTCTAATGTATCGGAATCATACAATTGTTTTAATAAGTGTATGAAATAATGTGCTGACATCTTCAAAAAAACTCCCATAAACAAACGCCTCTCCAGCAAGGTAGATAATTGGTATGATAGTGAATGTAGACATGCCAAACTGCTGCGAGAATGTTACTCCCATTCGTCACCACTCGCCCCTTTCCGTAACCTCCAAGAAGACTCGTCCCCCACTCGTTATCATTCGTCACCACTCGCCCCTTTCCGTAACCTCCAAGAAGACTCGTCCCGATGCTTGTTATGTGCGAGAATACAACAAACCAATCAGAACGCGCGTAAATGAGTGCGGTGCTTTGATAAAAATAATCCCGAGTACTTAAATCGTTTATGGCATTATGTCATTGTTTAAAGAATCATGAAAAATATATATCGTCATATTGAAAGTACAAAGAACGTAGCTAACAGGATTTTGCTGGCTATTATGAAGTTTTTAATAAGAATCATGCGAATGACGGTGAGAGATTCAAAAACACACACGTGCGTGTGTTGACAAAACGGCACTCATGGGTCCAACAGAGTGTATTTCTGACGATCTTGCGGGCTTGTTATAGAGATTGTACGTGCGCTTCGACCAATTTTAGGAACTGCAATTATAATCGCTTCGCGTTTCAAAACAATAATATCATACTTGTATGTAACTGATCAACCTTAATCTTTAAGGGCTTATATTTCACAGTTCTGGGGATATTTTAGTCTGACTGTTTTTTGGTCATTCATATTTTGTTTCAGCGAATTCATTTAAAATTCCACAAGGGGTGTGACAGCAAGGTTACACGAATGTTCAGTTTGAGAAACATTTTAAAGTAATTTTTTTGAGTATCTGCTTTGGGATTTAATGTAGCCGAAAAAATATTATTTTATTTGTACATTCAATAAAACAATTCCCATTTTTGATTATTAAACCCTATTAAAAAAATTAACATAATTGGAAATATAAGGTTAACAGTTGGTAATAACTACATTAGAATATGTCTTTAACAAGTATGTTTTTCTCCTTTTAGTTGTATCAAAGAGGATTAATTCTTTAAGATAAATAGGTTAAAAAAAACAAAACAAAAAACAACCTAGCAGTACAATGTACATGTGCTGCGGTGATATTAAGAAACATTGGAATCAAACAGGGATAGAGTTATCGTTCTTGTTTAAAGTAGTTCTGATGTTCATGCGCCAATATGAAATCCTTCCAGTGGGGCACGAGTCGCTATTCGGCTTGTCCCGGAATAACACGAGTGGGTCACGAATGCGCCCGTGCAGTACGTGATGAGCGTTAACTTCATTGAATGTGCATGCCCCCTTGTAATACAACTGACTGACTGACTGAGTTTAGTTTTACGCCGCTTTTAGCAATATTCCAGCAATATCACGGCGGGGGACACCAGAAATGGGCTTAACACATTGTGCCCATGTGAGGAATCGAACCCGGGTCTTCGGCGTGACGAGCCAACGCTTTAACCACTAGGCGGATCACCTTTCGAATCCGTCCACATTATTAAGGTGAATATTTAAGGTACTAAAAAACATAATCTTGGATTGTTAACATTCAACCGTCACGTCATACGAGCAGCATCGTATGTTTCTAATTAAAGCTTATAAGATCCTTGTCAAGACTTATCAACTTTTGTTTTTAATGAAGTTTTTGATGGACTAAGTGCACAAACGCTCAAACATTTCGTAACCAGATACAGTTTCTTTTGAGAGATGAACTTTATTAAGTGACCATCTTCCATATATCCAGGAATCGATTGTGTGAGTGAGTGAGTCGGGTTTTATGCCACAGGAATTTACAGCTGAGTACACCAGACATTTCTTCACACATTGTATCCATATTTGGAATCGAACCCGGAAGTCCGAAGTCTTTCACCACTATTACCCTCACCGCCCCTAGCCCCATTAGAGTCAAGTCTAGATTCCATGCTAAACTAAACTCTCATGTCGGCTCCTTTTCAGTTTTCAAGGTAGTTGCATGTTTCTATCAAAATTAGATATTTGATGAGACCAAGTGATAATCTACATAATTTTTTGTAACGAAAATATTAAAAATATTGCTACGTTTATTCATTTCATTGCCATTACATTAATAATGCCGTCATTATACTCTCGAGAGTGGAATGTTTAGTCAAATTTATTCATGACCTATCCTTTAAATAATTATATGGCTTTATAGAGCTAAAAAAAGAAGTATTAATTATATAATTATGAAGAAATAGGCATGTCAGTGATAATGTCAGGTGTCGTCTTTCAGTAGTTAACAAAGCCTATTGTCCTCACGTGACAACAATGGGATGTATTTGATGACGTCATGCTGGGACAGAGACGGGAGATGTGAATGTTGAACAATAGGTTAGGGGTTAGACTGACAAAAAAGTTCATAGTAAAAAAAAAAAATATAATGAAAAGGAGCCCTGCGACTTTCTTCATTTGAGGAAATCTAGACTTGCCACATTTTCTAGACTTGTGTGGGCTTTCTTGGATATATTTGCTTCAGGGTCTGTACGAGAGACTAGTTAGGGGTCATCAATATCACATAATTTCATAAAAATGTCCATTTATATTTACAACCTTTTATTGGTGAGTATATTTAAGAATAGAATTCGCTATTCGATTAAACAGGTATGAACATCAAAACCGGTTTCACTTTGTGCATTTGCTTCATCAAATACCTATCAATAACTTCATAGAATACATATTTAATCATATACACACCAAAATATTTTAACGATACGGTACGAAATCAGTGATGTCGTTAATTCAAGATTAATCGTCAACGACTGAAAATAGCCAGCCTCCATTTACGTCAAAGTATTTGTTTGTTTGTTGTTTAACGCCGCACTCAGTATTCCAGGTATATGGCTATCATAATCGAGTTTGGACCACACAATCCAGTGATCAATATCATGAGCATAGATCTACGCAGTTGGGATACGATGAGATGTGTCAACCAGGTCAACGAGCATGACCACCCGATCCCGTTAGTCGTCTCTTACAAGCACGGGTTACTGAATATCCGTCGCAATATTTAGATCCAATTGGTCGTTAAAAGCAAAACAGAAGGTTTTATGAATATGTCGCCGAAAATCAGTGATGTCACGGAAGACGGCGGAAGGAGGAAGCACGCCCCACACAATGTGCACAATAAGTATTTGTTGCCCACGCCGCACAGCGGTCCTCGTGTAAGCAGCAAATCGATAATCAATTGACGGATCAGAAAATTTGATGACACGATAATTCACTAACCAAATATAAGAAAGGTTGATTATGTTTACTGTGTACACTGAGATATGTGTTTATAAGTATACAAAACAACGCGCGTCCTGCCAGCATTCAGGATATTGTTTGAGAATAATGGGTGTGGTGGCCTTCATTTCCGAAATTAATGATTCTCACTAAATGCCTAAGCCAGGTGGTTAAATCGTCACGCTGAGGACAGGGTTCGAATCCACATTTATACTGTAAATGAGGCACTTTGTGTAATGGCTCCATGGCAATGAGCCCTGAATGCATTAAAACGATCAAGTTCCATTTACGAACATTTCAGAGAGCGTCATATGTTTGTTCAAGATCGTCATTTAAGGTTTTACGGTTGATTTTTTGGAAGACTTTTCCAACTTTGACGTATCGGGGACAAAAGTATTCCATACAATTCCTAATTTTGAATGGTATCATGTGGTTTTCGTTGTATTTCATACGACAAATTGACGTTCCTTTGCATGTGTTTATGATGTATTTTGAGCGCACGTATTTCCAAAACACTGTAACATATTCCCTAATACATATAAATAATAATGGTATGCACTTATCAAGTGACATGGCAGGCATACCCACATCATCATATGAACATCGTTGTAGGACTGCCATTGTGATGTCGTTCGGAGATGGACATATTCAGACAACGTGGCTACTTTCACTAGGGGTAGCCTAGTGGTTAAAGCGTTCGCTCGTCACGCTGAAGACCCGGGTTCAATTCCCCACATGGGTACAATGTGTGAAGCCCATTTCTGGAGTCCCCCGCCGTGATATTGCTGGAATGTTGCTAAAAGCGGCGTAAAACTAAACTCACTCACTCACTATGTAACGCCAAACGTCACCCAGGTCTCTGACCTTCATCACCATGGTGAAACCCACGAGATTTCATTATCGGGTACAATCAACCAGACCCACACCTTATAGTGGTAGGCTAGAGACCGATAATTATGCTTCTTTAACACCATATTGAGAATCATCATTATAGACCATGCCTACACAAGTGAAGGTTATGTTATATGTTACGTATACTCTCCAAAATGAAACCCATATGTGATATTGATATAGGAAATTTCAAATGTTTTTCAAAATTAGTGTTTGATGTTATAATATTGCCAATATAAAGCTGGTTTTTGTACATGGAACGGATGCACATCGAAAAACGCATCTGTGGAAGCTTTAATGCACGTTTACGTTCGAAAGTGTCATCTTGTATAAAAATGTCATTGAGAAAGGGTTTCGCAATATGCACGTGCGGTTCTGAGGAATCATTGCAGAGACAATGCATATATTAGGCCGTTTTGCATTTAGACGGTCATTGGCATTTGTTGGCGAAAAGGAAGAATATCGCTATCATGCCGCCACTCACTGCTATAGCTCGAAACATTCCCATTGGGCGTCTGGAGGCTTGGGGAGAGTTAA